ATGTCATTGACTCAATGCTGGGCTGCACATTCATGATGCTCCTTTTCACAATCTCAAAGGTGTTCTGTTGGTTTTAGATCTGCTCAATCAACTCATTGTCATACTCAGTAAAGAAATTTGAGATTATTTAACCTTTGTGACATGGTGTGTTGTCCTGCTGGAAGTAGACGTCAGGAGATGGGTACACTATGATCATACAGGGTGGACATGGTGAGCAACAATAGGAGGCTGTGGTGTCTAAACAATGTTCAGCTTGTACTAAGGGCCCCAAAGTGTGGCAAGAAAATATCCCCCTGCACCATTACACCAGCAGCAGCATGCGTCCATACTTTTGTGTTATTTACAGCAAATCCCAACCCTAACATCTGCATTGCGCAGAAGAAGCAGAGGCGAATCAGGCCATGCAACATTTTTCCAATCTTCTATTAGCCCATTTTTCTGAGCCTGTGCAGACTGTGTAGCTCCAGTTGTCTGTTTTTGGCTGACAAGAGTGGCACCCTTAGTCTTTTTTTTGCTATCGCTCATCAGCTTCAAGGTTCAGCGTGTGTGGTGTGTCGAGAGAAGCTCTTCTGCATACCTTGCTTGTAACGGGTGCTTTATTTGAGTTACTGTTGCCATCCTATCAGCTCAAAGCAGTCTGGTCATTGTCTTCTGACCTCGGGCATCAACAAGGCAATTTCTCCAGGAGAACTGCCACTCACTGGATATTTCCTGTTTTTCAAACCATTCTCTGTAAATCCTAGAGAGTGCTGTGTTGGGCATCTGATCTGAAATACTCAGACTTGCCTTTCTGGCACTAACAAAGTCATTTAAATCACCTTTATTCACTAATTCTGATGCTCAGTTTGACCATACATGCCCAAATCTACTGAGTTGCTGCAATGTAATCAGCTGATAGAATAATTGCATTCATGAGCAGTTAAACAGGTGTACCTAACAAAGTGGATATCGAATATTTGTATATTTTCTCATTTTGGTAAATGTTTCTAAAGCTGATGCTTACAAAAAAAGGAAGATGCATAATTACACTACAGGGTAGGGGAAAAATATGTTACTTTGATTTCGACTTCAGTTTCATGTTACTGTAGATGTGGAAGATGGATTAATGAAGAAAAGTTATGGCTGTAAGAAGAGGCATTGTAAGCTTTAGTCCGGTTTGGCTAAACTGCTGATCATTTAGAGTTTTATCTTGTGGCAAAAGTGTGTACATTACGTTTTTCTGTGTTCAACTTTTAGACATTAATGTTTTTGGGGGTTTTTTTTGCAGTCCTTGATGATGAAGACAGTAGTAACATCACGGCAGGCTCAATCGTCACAGTAACCGTCACCTTAAACAGGAAACGGATGGCGGTAAGAAATGTTTCCGTGTGACTCAACACCTACGTAATACTTGACGTAACAATGAGTTACTAGAAAGCAGGTTCTGCTGCCTTGCACATGCACTACTGTGGATCACCATTAGAGTGCACTGTTGACTGAAAACATGGCTGGATAGCATCAGTTAACTCTGCTTATTGATGTGTGTGTAGGACATGTTTGAACAAGAGCAAGAGCCAGTGCCGTGTCAAGGAGATGAGACTGCCACTACAGAGGAAGCGGTAAGATCACACATGCAGAAACCATTTCGGCTCAGATTAGTTTATGTTCAGTTTGCTTGGGCAACTTAAAGCTGTAAAAGTTTAATGGTTCAAAGAATCATGTTCACGTTTTCTTGTTTTGTGTGTCTGATCTGAAGCAAGGAGACACAAGTAAAGCCAAAACCAAAGTGTGGCAGAACAAGAATAAAGGGGCTAAAAAGACAGCCAAGTCCAAGAAGAAAAAGTTAACCAAGAAGAAAGCCACTCCTGCCCCTGCCAAAAACAAGCAGGCCAATGGCACCGTGGCAGGAAATGTAAGCAGCCACTCACTCAGTCAGTTACACCTGAATTAAACTAACACCAGCATCCACCTACTGTCAGATGATTATTTAAAACAACGGTGCTTTCAGCATAACTTTTCATTATTGATACCGGTGTCGCAGGAAGTCGCAGCAACAACAACAACAGCAGCAACTGTGGCGACAAAGGAGGAAGATGATGACGGGTCAGACAAAGGCAGCGAGTCAGACGAGGGCGAAGCCAACAAGGATTCTCCGAGCGAAAGAGACGAAGACAGCGACAAACAGAGCGACACAGAAGTCGACGAGATGGCTGGCGACGACGAGGAGGTCAGAGAGCGTTAATCGGATGCATATGTCATTCGTAGGATTTAGCAGCAGGAGCTTTATCACTTAAAAGCCTATAGTGTTAAGGTCCAGCTGATAAATGGAAGGGAAACGCTCTATCCAATCTAACCGTCACTCTTTTCACCCCTGCCTGTCAGGAGTGGGAAGCGTTGCAACAAAGCATCCAGCGGCGAGAGCGGGCCCTGCTAGAAACCAAGTCAAAGGTGACACACCCGGTCTACAGTCTCTACTTTCCAGAGGAGAAGCAGGAGTGGTGGTGGCTCTACATTGCTGACCGCCGAGAGCATACCCTCGTCTCCATGCCCAGTCACGTGTGCACGCTAAAAGACACAGAAGAGGTGAGATTGCCGCACTAGAATTTTAACGGACACACAGGAAGTGAGCGTGTGCCTGTGCCAGATGACTCTTTGGAGAATTTGTGATTGTTTTCAGAGAAATAATTTGACACGGTGACATCATGATCGATAATTTACACGTAATTAATCAGCATAATTGTTATTTTAAATTGTATGATTTTATATTGTTATTGTTTTTAATTAAAAAAGTAGTGATGATCATCAGATCCAGCACTACAGTCAGTTCATTGTGTTTGTATCAAAATACTTTGTGAATATCGTTTGGATTACACAGTAATGCATGTGAGGTAAAAAGGTCTTAATAAGTTAGTGTGTGCTTATGTTTCTTGTAACCCCTTGCACATGCTGTTGCTAAGCAACCCTTTGCACTTGTGTCACTTGTCATTATTTCCTCAGAGTAGTGTGTGTCTGTGTTTGTTTTGCACAATTTGCACCACTGATCCTGGTGCTCAGCATAACCAGCACAGACTGACGTGAAGGTAAAAGCTTAACAAGGCCGTTTTTAAGCGTACATGACTGGCCACCCCCGCTCTCAAGGATGGTAATAAGAGGCGTTGCAGGTCACTGCCAAGAAATCCATTAGCCTGTCACTTCAGCAGTTCCTTCTGTCGTTTCTCGCTGTGTGACTGTTAATACGCCGCGCTTTCATCTCTGGCCAGGACAGTTAATAGTGGCTATGATCACAGCTCATTCTCTGCTCGCACGCTGAATAATAATTAGGTTCATTGTGCTCGTAATGAGCTGTTTTCCATATGTAATTGCGCAACATAGTAATCATAGCCTGAGGCAATGTTGGTCTAATGTTTACAGTTGGACCCCATCATCGTGCGGCAGTTCATTTGTAATTACCTACCACGCTGTGGCCCTCTGCTGCTAGATGATTGTACATCATTGGTGACAGCAGATTGCAGAAGTTTATAATATTCAAAGCGTTTGTCCTTTGCCTCCTTTTGGCGCTTGCATTAGTGGTTTCTATGGGGATGGAAACAGGTCGGCTTTGTTTACATGGAGACTATTGTATTTTCGCATCAATCGCAGGATTTTGGCCACAATCCAGCATTGCAGCTGTAATTAATGCATAAAACAATAGTGCTCTGAGTCATACAGTTATACACTGCACATTGAGTGCTTCTGTGATTAGATTTGGTTAAAGGGAGTCTTTTAAGAAACATGAAATTAACATATTTATGTGTGTGTGTGTGTGTGTGTCTCCATGGGTTATTTTCCAGGTGGAGCTCAAGTTTTCAGCCCCCTCCAAAACGGGCAACTACCAATATTCTGTTATCCTTCGTTCTGATTCCTACCTAGGACTGGACCAGATCAAACCACTCAAGGTGTGTATGTGTGTGCCTTTTATTAGTGTGTGTGTGTGTGTGTGTGTAAATAGGGGGGCCTTCCGTCAGCCAATCAGTTCAAATTGTCCTGGATATGATGGGTTTTTGCTACCAAAGTGGCTGGAATAATAAACCCACCAGCTGTAGCCAAATGTAGCTGAGGCTCACTGAACAATGGTATTGATTGCTGCCAAGATGTTAGGAATGAGGGTATTGACTGCTAGCCAGAAGCAATATGATTTGTATTGTTGTAGGCAGTGCACTTTAAGTGCACTTAAGGTTTGGTTTTCTTCTACCGGTCAAGAATTTATTTATTTCATAGCTACTCACCTTTATCTTAAAATGCGGGATCGTCAAATCAATGTTATTCAAATTAGACTTGAACCCAGTATGTGATTGGTTTCATTCTGAAAGCATGTGGTGCTTGCAGTGGAAAAAATGTCAATGCCAATGTCGTACAGACATATATATAAAATGACTTGTTTAGTACCTAATTTTTATCCAGTATTTGGATGTGTATTTAGATGTTCTACACAAAAAATGTGTAGAACATTTTTGAATGGGGATTCTTGTTGGCACTACATCTTTTATATATATTTTTCAATGACCTTGTGTTATATGAAAGTTTGTCAGCCATTGTCAGTGGCCAATAGCTCTTCTGCAGGCAGAGAGGAGGTTATCCATAATAACCATAAAGCACAACATGTGGGCCAAGCACTAAATGCATAAATTAAATGATGCACTGGCGAGAAAGAGTTAAAACACTTGCAGGCTCTTTACTAGAGCCTAACACAAAGAGAATTTTTAAGACTAACATATTTAAAAAAACAGATATATTGGAGAATATATACTCTATATTGCCAAAAGTATTCTCTCAGCCAACCAATTATTGAATTCAGGTGTTCCGATCACTTCCGTGGCCACAGTTGTATACAATCAAGGACCTAAGCATGCGGACTCCTACAAACATTTGTTTAAAAACAACAAAAAAAAGGGGTGGTCGCTCTCAGGAGCTCACAGTGTTTTGATTCCAGTCAGCTGTTAGTGGTTTTATAACAAAGTGGAAACGACTGAGAAAGACAGCCACTTAAAATCAGAGCGAGGTCAGATAATTAGTTGGCTTGGGGTTAATTTACTTAACAGCAGATATAATACTGACTCTGATAGATCAGCAAATATTGGCTGATATACTTCATACATTACACCAATATTTTTAGCTGCTTCCTTGCCACAAGGGGTCGCAACAGCAGGTAACTGGAATTAAACCAGCAACCTTTCGCTTAATTGACATTTTAAATGCCGTAAACCAGGAACCACTGCTGTACATTTCCTAGATTCCCATGTGATCCTTAACATTTCATGTAGGTGCACAGGTCATTCTTCCCAGTATTGTGTTACAATATTTCCTTATCGGTTTTCCAAGAGCATCTGAAGTCATATTGAGGCACATGCTAGCATTTGTAATAATCTACAAATCACCTTAAATAATATGCACAGACTCGAAAGTGTTAATTGCAATGATGATAACACAAGTGCTTTGTGTTTGTGCAGTTGGAGGTCCACGAGGCCAAGGCCATTCTGGACAACCACCCGCAGTGGGACATCCCCGACACGGAGGAGGAGGACGAGGAGCAAGAGGACAGCGACGGCATCGAGGAGAGTGAAGATGACGATGAGGACAACGACTGAGCGCGTGCGTACGCGCTCAGCCCTCCCCTCCCTCCTCCCTTTACCCTCTCATGGACTTGGCCACACATTCACTGCTGACCCCGCTCAAGCCAGAAAGCAGTCAGTGAGGAGCAGCGAAGCCACAAACACTCACAGAGTCACCGGGGACAGTTTCTACACACAGAGCCCTCCTCCATTTAACCTTTGCAAAGTCATGGACTGTGACCTGAACCCCGA